AGTGCTGCTTGCATTTTTGCACATTTAACATTTCCTTTATATTGAACGAAATATTTTCCATTGGTATTATCAATACATTTATCAGCAATTGAACGAGCAATAAATTTACCTTAATAATATTAAAAAAAAATACAATCATATACTCGTTTATTTATTTATTTACCAAGATCACTTGAACCATCCGGATTATCAAGTGATAAATCATTTAATGATTCTAATAATGAATGATATCCACTAACATAATCATTTGGACGTAATATAATTCCACTAAGATCATGTAAAAGACGCGATATTAATTCTTTATGAACATTGGATTTTTCTAATGCCATTGTAACAATATAACCCATTAATTCTCCACCTCGTTGTTTAACATCAAATTTACGTAAAATTTGTGCAACATCATTTGCATCACCATTAACAAAATATTCATCAATTAATGGTTTAACATCTTTATCAAGATCTTGAATTATTTCTAATTTAGTGAATTTAGTTTCTAATGTTGTTTTTGATGATTCAGCAAGATGTTTTGCTTTAGCTTGATTATATTGTAAATCAGCTAAATCATCTTCATCTAAATCTTCATTATCTTCTTCAAGTAATTCAGAACCTGGTACACCCCATGTAAATCCACCACCACCACCGCCTTTCTTTGCTAAACCACGACCTTTACCTATTTTAAAAATAAATTTGAAGATTTTTTTTATTGTAAAAACAAACCTTGTCTTGATTTTCGATTATATTTTTTTGAAATTTTTGCATTCTTTTGTAATAAATGTCCATGTACATCTGTTGGTGAACCGACAAGTTGTGTATTAGAATTTGAACCTGAATTTCGACGTATTTGTACACGTTTACGTTCAGTAGCTATTGAACTTGCATCACCACCACTAGCAACTGTATTTGGTTGAGATTTTTTCTCATTATCACGTGATGAACTTAATTGAGCAATTAATGCGTCAACTTCAGCTTTTTCTGCGGCCGATGAACTCATTTTTATTTTATCAATATGAACACCGGAAAAGTATTAAGAAAACAAAAAAAGAAAACGAAACGTTTAGATTTAATTTAATATGAATGACGCTTTATACTAAAACTAAAATTTTTTAACGAATATCAATCTGAAAAAAAATAATAAATAAAATAATTTAATTTATTTTATTAGAAAATAAATTTAGTTTTTTTATTGTTTTATACGTAGTAAAGGAAAGTAAAAATAATAAATAAATAAATAAACACATAACTACTGTGTGTACGTTTTACCGTATATTGCGTACTCGTTAGCGAATGATAATGATTTGATCAAATGATTTGAACAATTTAATAGAATAGACCTTTTTATGAAAAGAAATCGAATTTAAAAAGAATAAAAAAGAGAATAAAAATAAAAATCAATGTAAATATTTGTAAATACTTTTTTTCAATGAGGTTATTTGTTAATATATTAGATGGCGGTATCAATCAATTATCAAGTAGAGGACGGCAGCTGATTGTTAGATATTTTAAAGGAAAAGAAATATTTCGAATTGGGGAAAAATAATTATATGAAATAGACAAGTTAGCTATGTGCACAAATTTGAAAGATTCGTATATTTTAGCTTTAATCATTTAACTACATAATACATGAGACAAACGTGTACCTGAAATTCAAAATAAAGCACGCTTTCGATCTGTTGATTGATTATTGTATAAATATTACACAATCAAATGTGTTTTCGTTCATTGAAATGCTTCTAACTCTTAGTAAGATAGATGCAATACTAAGATCATTGATATATAAAGCTAGCATGTGATCTTTTTCTTATTTTTCTAATGCATTATCTATCTTCATCTATTGTTGAAACTGTAAAACTTTTAATAAAGTCGAGTAATGTCTAGCTTCTCGTGTCTTAATAATAGTGATATACGCGAAAAACAAAGTCTATAAAAATTTGTCTTTTATCAACACTCTCTACAATTGAATTAAACTACGCACTGAAAATCCAAAGAACGAAATATCATAGGCTCAGTCATTATTTAGTGACTTTTTTGTTCTCGAAATTATCACGATACAAATTTGTTACATACACCGAGAAAGTAAAAAAACATTCGTATGAAAAGAACGTGTCATATATATATTTAGTAATTCTATTTATCAAGGTTTCATATCGTTTTTGTTAATTACTGATCGTAGCAGATCTTTAATCTTACTTCTTCGCTTCAATATACAAAAACCATGCACAATTGCAAATTAATGATATGAATAAAATTCAATCAAATCAAAACCTTACTATACTTCTGACAATTAATGCATGTGAAAACTTCATTTAATATCGCAAATCACATAAAAAATATATCTTTTGTACAAAATATCCTCAAAGTCCGTAAGAAAAATAAATTCTCCTAATTCCACTATTTATCAATTAATGATTTTTCAATGATAAATAAAAACTTCACAAATACTGTTTACAGTTCTAACATCTTACTGAAATATAAAAATAAGTCATTCTTTTATTGTAAAAATAAGCACTACCTTGTAACTGTTTGTTAATGCTTTAATTTCGGCATTTTTTTTCTCATGTTTAAATCGACAAGATTGTGTGCTATTGTTTCCGTGCACTTAACTCAGTATGCCTCTACAAAAAGAAGCTTAGTGGCGTCAATACTAGAACTTATATGATCGATGCCGCTCTTTCAGTTCATTAGTGATTGCGTGGAAACAAAGCGATTTCATAAACTTCCTGATCAACAGACTTGACGTCGCTAGACTTCTTTTTGTACTGACATAAAGAATTAAATGCGCGGAAACGATAACGCAAAATCTTGTCGATGTCAACACTACAAAAAATGTCGAAATTGAAGCATTAACAAACAGTTACGAGGTAGTGTTTTTTTTTGCAATAATAAAATGACTGATTGTTATATTTCAATTGAAAATAATAACTATAAATAGTATTTGTGAAGTGTGTCTGTACCACTCAGTTTGATTAGGAGAATCAGACTAAAGGTTTTGTGAAAGAGATATTGAATCAAAGACACGCGATTCCTACTGCTCATTGCGTATTTTTTATTATTTGGTAAAAAAATCATTTATTTGTTTTTCGTTTCTCAGGCTGCATGTAACCAAATGATACGTATGACTATATTTTGTTTAGTATTTAATAAGTTTGATAGGTGTGAAATAGAGAGAGAGAGTGAGAAAAGAGAGGTATTATTCATCAGTCACAACAACAAAGTCAATGGAAACAAACACATTTCCAGTCTTTATCTTCACTTAAATTAGTTAGAATGGAAAATAGTAACGAAATACCATCTGTGTTAAAAATGCTGAGCTTGTTCAAGGTAAATTAACAACTTTCCAGGTGAGCTTATTCCATCCCTGACGCTATCTCTATGTATTGAATTCAGTAAAAACTTCTTACAGATTTTCTACGCATTTACATACCTATAAAAAAGATTTTGTATTCACTATGAAGTTAGAAACTCTTTTTTAACTATAAAACAAACGCGTTTAACATCTAAAAGTAATAATTATGATGACTTTTAAGTCATTTTGCAAATAACCTAAGTGGTGAAGCCGTTTTCGGTCCAATATTTTCTTTTTTTAGCTTTAAAAACTTTATGATTTATGCTTATTTTTTTCTAAATCATATTTCTAAACTTATAACTTCCATAATAAAAGAGTTCACAGAGTCAACTAAAACTCATTTTATATAAAAATTCTGCTAAAGAAAAATTTATTAGTTGAAGCGAGTCAGTCTGTTTATAATGGTACCATTTGATACACATATAATGAAGATATCTTGTTTTTTCTTTTAAGTATAGCAAATTTCTACAGGGTGTTTTATTAAAAACAATTTGAATATCTCCCTTACAGCTTGAGTAAACAAGTTGATTTATTCATCAATGATAGACACACGCCTAGAAAGGTCATTTTTTGATTATAAATATCGACCTTAGCAAAAGAATTTTACCTTTTCACAGGTAGAAGAAAAAACAACATTCTCTTTACGTAGAATTTATCTACTCATATCTCTATCATTGATAAAAAAATCAGGTTATTTTCTCAAACCATAAGGAAGGTATGGAAATTTTCTTTTTTGTTAAGTAACTTTTGGAACATCTTGCATTTATACTATAGAGGATGAGTAAAATATGTTCTCGAGGGAATTAAACATAAGATGCACAAATGATGTAACAATGGATTTTCTTTTACATGAAAGCAGGATTTATGTGCATCACTGATAAATTTACTTCAATAAATATAGCATATAGAATTCCAGCACTTTTTTAAATTTAATATGTACTGAGGAGTATTTTCATGAGCACTTCGATATAAACACAGTGATTTGGGTAATGCGAATATTGTAAATGTAATATTGCTGCACATGAATCTTTTCGGAGTACAATAACCATAGAACAGAACTCCACAATATTGAATAATAAACTTTAAATGTGAAAAAAATGCTATCGTTTGATAGTACACATTCATTCAATGAGTTATCTATTATATATCAAATTCTCTATTGCATCAATTATATATTCACTCATCAATTCCCTAGAAAAATATTTTTCTATTCTTTGTGTAATATAGTAAGACGCAAATTACATAAGTCATGAACGGTTCTTTCAAACGTTACTAAACAAATTGGTAGACGATTCAGTTAACCATTTAATATATATATTAAAGAATCTAATTTATAATTGTCATAATGTTTTACAGAAATTGAGTTCCGAAATAGCCGAAAAAAGCGTAATGTTCCGCCTTCCTGTTCTAATAATCTATTTTTTTCATATATTCTAAAAATGTGCTATTCTTACTAATGGTCTCTTTATGAACGGAACAGTAAGTTCTTCGTTTTTTTTCTTTTATTTAATAAAATAACATCGATAAATGATAGATTTTTTGCATTAACTATCATATACTTGCAAGTTGGTAGTATAACTGATTAGAGTAATAATAAATAACCATCTGCTCACACAATACTCGAGGTTTTTAGTTTTGATTCAATATTGAAGGAAATTAACTAGTAAGAATAATGAAATGTTAGATAATTGTCTAATATTTCCATTCTTTTCTTCTGTTAAACTAAAGTGAGAAACTCATTAGAGATAGAAGAAAGAATTTGTTATTCAATATCCTTTTCTTTTCAATGGAAACATTGAAGAATTCCAATTTGCAAAACAAATATTTCAGTGTATTACGAACGGTATAGTGAACACGTTTACAGTTGTAATGATGTATAGGTCAATTAAACACGTGGACGTGACTTTGCATCATGTCGCATACTCATGCTATTAACATCATAAAACATTGATATGTATATGAGAGAAAAAAATCATCTGTTCTATAAAAGTCATCTGACTACTGCAGTATGTATCTAGAAGAATAAATATCAGTCAATTATTTTGTTATAAGAGAAACTAATCTGGATATCGTATCAATTGTTATATTACAGTGTGCTTAAAATATAAAAACAAAAGTTATTATATAATACAATAGACGAATCAATTTATATTTTTAATGGAAAAGAAAAGTAGGCTTTAGTATATTTAGTAACTTGATACGAATAAATTTTCATCAACAAACAATATAGATAGGTTTTGCATTACTTTACATTTCATGTACTAGAAGAAATATTATTCAATCTATTTAGGAATAAATTATGTAAAAGATGTAGAAAGAGAAATATGACATTGCCCTTGTCATGTGCATTTGGCTTCAGCTGATAGAATATGTGATGAGTTGGTATATAAGATAAACCAATGTAGGTCACTCGTTCCTATTCTTTCTTTTTTCCCATGTTTATACACATAGTATATCAATCATACGAGCGATTTTTTCTCTGTAGATAGAGTAGAATATCTCTCATAGGGAAATATTACACATTCACTGTTGTCTCATTAGTTCTTTCATCTGTTCTAATGATAGAAACAAGGATGTATCAGCGTGCAAATACCCTAGATTATACTTTTATTTTGTTCTCTTCTTTTGCTTGTGGATACAAAGATTAG